GTAGAATTCCTGCACGTAGTGTGACCCTCTGTGTGTGTGTGTGTGTGTGTGTGTGTGGTGTGTGTGTGTGTGTGTTGTGTGTGTGTGTGTGTGTGTGTGTGTGTGTGGTGGTGTGAACTGTGAACCTGGCGTGAACAATAAGTGATACAGACTAAAATACATACTCTATTAAGTTTTTTTTATCTACCATCATATTAAAGAGGCAACTCTAGTAAGAGAGGTCAATATACGTCTTTCCTAGACCTTCTGTTCTAGAGAGGTCATCTGCAGTGAGAGAGGTCAACAAATGTGACGAAATTTTAAAACTTAATTTACATCCACATTTTTATACTAAACCGTTTGTCTCTCACCAAGGTGATCTAAATAAAGGGGGGGGGGGTGAATATTTCCGCCATCATTCATTCAATAGCTGTCGTGCCAAATATGTGCAGACATCACATTTCCAATGACATGAACCGCAACATCCCCAGCTTTCTTTCAGAGTGCTGTCGCAGTATTTCCCACCTCCAGGAATGAAATCCAGGTAGCCGGTTTTTCCTGAACCTTTTCGTAAATGTATCTCACACTCAAACAGCATGTCGAACCATAAACATTTATCTCCACTTCGATCTATCGCACTTAAACAAGCTTGCTGGATGCTCTGGCTCTCATAACCTCTTTTATGCCCCCCTTGCCCCAACCTTCCAGGGACGCTCCCTAACCCTCCTTCCTTCCATCCCACATTTATGCACCCTTTTAGTCTTTCTATTCTGCTCCATATTCTCTATATACCCAAACCACCTCGACAAGTGTTCCCAGCCCTTCGACTTCTAATTTCTACACTCTGAATTCTCTGCATAATATACACACCAGACATTTGTAGATGAATGGTTCAGAGAACCGACATGTTGACACCAGACATTACTTCCAAACACATCTCTCCCTCTAGTATCCTCTTCGCTGCAATGTCTGTACCTTACACTATACAAATTACCAGAGTACCACCATACCTTGGTACATTCTTCATTTTGTCCTAATACTTAAACGTCTTTCTTTCCACAGATGACCCAATTCTCAACCTAATTTTTTCCCTTTCATCGTTCGCCTCATCTTTCATAGACGAGGCGAACCGTCTGCTGACAAGGAGACTTCCAAGTATCTAAATTTTTTTCCTCCAGTTATTCACTGCGTAAACTTTTTGTTACTCTTACCACTTTGCTCTTTTCTATGTTGATTTTTAGTTTTTTTTTTTTTACATACCGTCCGTAATTCCTCCACCAACCATTCCAACTTCTCTTCGGAATCTCTCAAAAGAACTGTGTCATCAGCAAAGAGCAATTGTGAAATCTCTCACTTCGTATCAAATTCACTCTCTTTTAATCCCACACCTTTCTCCAACACCCTATCATTCACTTCTTTTACAACCTCATCGATAAATATGTTAAACAGCTATGGTGACATCACACATCTCTGTCTAAGGCCTACTTTTACCGGAAAATCTCATTCTGATCTACAAACCGTAACCTGAATGTCGCTATCCACATAAAAACACTCTACTTTTTTTTAGGAACCCTCTATCTATTCCATACATTTGTAACATCGCCCACGTGTTTCCCTGTCCGCCCTATCATATGCCTTTTCTAAAAACATAATTGCAACAAACGGTTCGTTACCTTTAAGCAGTGTTCACTTAGATGCTCCAACGTAAACCCCTGTTCTACACATCCCCTACCCTTCCTAAACCCTCCATGTTCCTCCTCTGCAATACTACTTTCTGCCTTACCCCAGACTGTTTCAGCAACAAATCTACAATACTCTCTACCCGGTATACTCAACAGACTTATACCCCAATAATTATTACAGTTTTTTTGTCAGTCTCATTTCCCTCTTATACAAATACACTGTGCCTGCTCTCTGCTAATCGTTAGGTAATTTCTCTTATTCCATGCATATATATTGAACAGATTCACCAACTACTCCTAAATTACATCACCATCTGTTTTTAACATCTTAGTCATAATCCCATTTGTCACAGCTTCTTTACCCTCCTTTCATTCTGGCCACTGCCTTACGCACTTCCCACACACTCGCCTCTGGCTCCTCCTCACTCTTACGACATGTTATTTCTCCCTGCGCAGTGCATAAAATTACCATCTCCCTTTCACCATCAGTATTTAGTAACTCAGGCTGTTATCTCCATCTAACATCCATCAGGCTCTTCTCTCCATCTAACATTTATCAGCCTATTCTCTCCATTTAACATCCCCTCTCTTTCGTTTTTAACTGCCAAGTTCATTTTCTCCCCAGGCTTTCTCAACTTGTATATTAATCTCTTCAGAATTTATTTTGTTTAATAGTCACTCATCCTTTTGCGCCTCCTCACCGCTCGTTTTACGTCTTAGAATATACGACCAAAGATTATTTATGTAATGAATGACCTAAGTAAGTGAACATAAATATATAAGATGGACTGGATTATGTAATTATAACTGTGTGGAGCAGTTCCAAAAGAGGCTATTTAAAATGAAGTGTTGCTTTGGATTTAAAAAAGTAAACACAATGCATAAAAATATTTTTTAAACAATTTATCCAAAAATAAGAAAGAAGCCTGGCTGGCAGAAACGATACTGCGTTTTGATGAACGAGGTGGATGGTGGTTACCTGGAGGTTACCTGGAGGTTATTCCGGGGATCAACGCCCCCGCGGCCCGGTCCATGACCAGGCCTCCCGATGGATCAGGGCCTGATCAACTAGGCTGTTACTGCTGGCCGCACGCAGTCCAACGTACGAGCCACAGCCCGGCTGATCCGGCACTGACTTTAGGTATCTGTCCAGCTCTCTCTTGAAGGCAGCCAGGGGTTTATTGGCAATTCCCCTAATGCTTGATGGGAGGCTGTTGAACAGTTTTGGGCCCCGGACACTTATGGTGTTTTCTTTTAGTGTACCAATGGCGCCCCTACTTTTTATTGGCGGCATTTTGCATCGCCTGCCCATTCTTTTACTTTCGTAGGGAGTGATTTCTGTGTGCAGATTTGGGACCATTCCTTCCAAGAATGGTGGTGGCTAGAATGTGATCAGAGAGGAAGTTTGTGCTGACACACTTGTAAACCTTTATACATTTATGCCTTAAAGTTATTAAAGAGTCGGACCAATACAAACTGACTCCGTTATGTATCTACAAAACTGGAATTACTCACCCCCTCATCAACCCACCAACCTCACTCCCTTAACTCACCCCCTCATCAACCCACCAACCCCACTCCCTTAACACACCCATTACACCCCCACACCCCCTCACACACCCTTTACACCCCCACACCCCCTCACACACCCTTTACACCCCCACGCCCCCCTCACACACCCTTTACACCCCCACCCCACTCACGCACCCCCACACCCCCTCACACACCCACACAGACCCACACACATACTCCCCTCACTCACAGACCCCTCACATCCCTTCAGATACTAATAGGTGAGTACATCCTGGTGACTGCAGTTAGTTGAGTGCGAGAATGATAATTCCATTATATCCAAGGAATTAACATATGAGGAAAGTAAGGAAGAGGGTGTGGCCTTAATATTTAAGAAACAATGGGACATCGAGGAAGTGTCTATAACAAACTGTTAATAATTATCATGACACGTGGCAGACGTGTACCAAAAGGTGCTTTAAGAAATAGTTATTGTAATTTATAAGAGGCAGCCCAGCATGCAGCGGAACACTGACAAGCGCTGGAAGTACTTGTCACTTGTACTTGGCGGTGCTAACCAGTCATCGAAGACCGGCACTTATAGAGAAAGCTGAACCATCCGTCTTGAACCAAATATCCTCGGCCATTATCAAGTCACAACTGAGCTCAGAAATGATCAAAAAGATACAGCAAAGTGAGACATTTATTATCACGATTTTTCACCATCGCGAGGTTTTATCAAGTACCCAGACTTTAGCAAGTAACTAGTATGCAGACTTTAAGAAGTAACTAGTACCCAGACTTCAATAAGTACCTAGTACCCAGACTTTAGCAAGTACCTAGTACCCAGACTTTAGCAAGTTCCTAGTACCCAGACTTTAGCAAGTAACTAGTATGCAGACTTTAAGAAGTAACTAGTACCCAGACTTCAATAAGTACCTAGTACCCAGACTTTAGCAAGTACCTAGTACCCAGACTTTAGCAAGTTCCTAGTACCCAGACTTTAGCAAGTAACTAGTACGCACTTAAAGAAGTAACTAATACCCAGACTTCAATAAGTACCTAGTACCCAGACTTTAGCAAGTTCCTAGTACCGAGACTTTAGCAAGTAACTAGTACGCACTTTAAGAAGTAACTAGTACCCAGACTTCAATAAGTACCTAGTACCCAGACTTTAACAAGTACTTAGTACCTAGGCTTTATCACGTACCTCATACCCAAGCTTTAACAAGTACCATACGTTACTGTAATGTAACATATGTGTCATGATTGTCATGAAGCACCAGTGTTGGTACAGTCACCTGTGTCAGATGTCATGACCGTTATGTAACACCAGTGTTGGCTCACAGTGACCTATGTCAGGTGAATTGCAGCACCAGTGTTGTCCTAGTGACCTGTGTCATGATTGTCATGAAACACCAGTGTTGTTGTCTGAGAGTGTTGACCTCCATCAAGGATCTTCCAGGTTCACACGAAGGCGTTGTTTCTTTTCTTCACTTCCACCGTGGAGGATGTACTTGTGTCAACTTGCCTGTGCTTGTCTTCTAGACTTTTTGGAGAGTGCTGCCAGACCCTGGAGGGCAGTGTCCTCCACTCCAAACAATACATTTCTCCCTTGAATAATCAAACAATCTGCTTCCGGTGTGTGTGTGCGCGCGCGCGCAAGGCTGCTGATTATTCATGGGTACTCTGATAACTTCTCTTATTTTGTCCTGAGCATTTACTGAAGGAGCTGATGACACAGTAACCAAAGTTTTTGTATCATTGTCTACCTCATCAACAGCTGAGTTGAACTTTGTTTCTAATTGAATACTTTTTGTGTTTCAGAAATTTGGTGACAAAGGTGAGTCCTGGCGGCGGCGTGTGCACGTAAGTACGTACACACACACACACACACACACACACACACACACCAGTGAAGAAGCGGGGCCAGGAGCTATGAATCGACCCCTACAACCACAATTAGGTGAGTACACACGCACGCACACATAGTGTATGTGTGGGTGTGGGTGTGGAACCTGCATTTCATAGTAACACTGTAGACAACATGATCACATAGTAGACAGAGTAACATCGTAGATAAGATGGTAACTGTACTGTAGATAACCTGGTAAGTGTACTATAGATAACCTGGTAACACTGTAGATAAAATGGTAACCCTGCTGTAGATAAGCTGGTAACACTGCAGATAAATTGGTAACTCTGCTGTAGAAAAGCTGGTTATTAATACTGCAGATAAAGTGGTAACTCAACTGTAGATAAGCTGGTAACACTGCAGATAAAATGGTAACTCTACTGTAGAAAAGCTGGTAATACTGCAGATAAAGTGGTAACTCTACTGTAGATAAGCTGGTAACACTGCAGATAAAATGGTAACTCTACTGTAGATAATGTGGTAACACTGTATATAAGGTGGTAACACTGTATATAAGGTGGTAACACTGTATATAAGATGATAACACTGTATATAAGATGGTAACACTGTATGTAAGACGGTAACACTGTATATGAGATGGTAACACTGAGATGGTAAAACTGTATATAAGATGGGAACACTGTATATAAGATGGTAACACTGTATATAAGATGGTAATACTGTATATTAGATGGTAATACTATATATAAGATGGTAACAATGTATATAAGATGGTAACACTGTATATAAGATGGTAACACTGTATATAAGATGGTAACACTATATAAGATGGTAACACTGTATATAAGATGGTAACACTGTATATAAGATGGTAACACTGTATATAAGATGGTAACACTGTATATAAGATGGTAACACTATATAAGATGGTAACACTGTATATAAGATGGTAACACTGTATATAAGATGGTAACACTGCATAATAAGTGATGAAGCACTTCTTTTAATTACTTTTTATTGTTGTGTTGTTCTCCTGCCAGCATAGGTTAGCACATGTGTTATAGCATAGGTTAGCACATGTGTTATAGCATGGGTTAGCACATGTGTTATAGCATGGGTTAGCACATGTGTTATAGCATGGGTTAGCACATGTGTTATAGCATGGGTTAGCACATGTGTTATAGCATGGGTTAGCACATGTGTTATAGCATGGGTTAGCACATGTGTTATAGCATGGGTTAGCACATGTGTTATAGCATGGGTTAGCACATGTGTTATAGCATGGGTTAGCACATGTGTTATAACATGGGTTAGCACATGTGTTATAGCATGGGTTAGCACAGCATGTGTCAGCACAGCATGGGTAAACAGCATGTGTTAGCACAGCATGGGTTGGCACAGCATGGGTTAATACAGCAAGGGTTGGCACAGCATGGGTTAGTACAGCATGGTTTGGTGTACCATAGGTTAGTACAGCATGGGTTGGTACACCATAGGTTAGTACAGAATGGGTTGGTACACCATAGGTTAGTACAGCATGGGTTGGTACAGCATGGGTTGGTACAGCATGGGTTAGTACAGCATGGGTTAACACAGCATGGGTTAGTGCTGCATAGGATAGTACAACATCGGTTGGCACAGCATGGGTTGATACACCATAGGTTAGTACAGCATGGGTTGGCACAGCATGGGTTAGTACATTAGTACAGCATGGGTTAGCACAGCATGAGTTGACACAGCATGAGTTAGTACAGCATGGGTTAGCACAGTATGGGTTAGTACTGCATAGGATATTACAGCATGGGTTGGCACAGTATGGGTTAGCACAGCATAGGTTAGTACAGCATGGGTTAGCACAGCATGGAATAGTACAGCATGGGTTAGCACAGCATGGGTTAGTACTGCATAGGGTATTACAGCATGGGTTGGCACTGCATGGGTTAGCACAGCATAGATTAGCACAGCATAGGTTAGTATAGCATGGGTTAGCACAGCGTAGGCTAGTACAGCATGGATTAGTACAACATGGGTAGCACAGCATGGATTAGTACAGCATGGGTTAGTACAGCATAGGTTAGCACAGTATGGATTAGTGCAGCATGGGTTAGTACAGCATGGGTTAGGGTTGTAGGTCGTGTTGGTGTACATATTGTTAGTTTTTAGTTTAATATGTTTATTACGCACCCCATACCCATCCTGTGGGCGGTAGTCAAAAGATTACAGAGGTACGTAATTGGTCCAGGGACTGGACTCCAAAGTTTTGATAGCTGAGCAAGTACATATTGTTAGTGGAACTATTTGTTAGTGGAACTGTGTTAGTGTAATTGTGTTTGTTAGTGTAGCTATGTTAGTGTAACTTTGTTAGTGTAACTGTTTATTAGTGTAACTGTTAATGTGGCCCGGTGGCCTGGTGGCTAAAGCTCCCGCTTCACACACGGAGGACCCGGGTTTGATTCCCGGCGGGTGGAAACATTTCGACACGTTTCCTTACACTTGTTGTCCTGTTCACCTAGCAGCAAATAGGTACCTGGGTGTTAGTCGACTGGTGTGGGTCGCATCCTGGGGGACAAGATTAAGGACCCCAATGGAAATAAGTTAGACAGTCCTCGATGACGCACTGACTTTCTTGGGTTATCCTGGGTGGCTAACCCCCCGGGGTTAAAAATCCTAACGAAATCTTATCTTATCTTATCTGTTTGTTAGTGTAACTGCATTTGTTAGTGTAGCTGTTAGCGTAACTATTTGTTTATGTAACTGTGTTTGTTAGTGTAGCTATGTTAGTGTAACTGTGTGTGTTGGTGTTAATGCAACTATGTTAGTGTGTGTTAGTGTTACTGTTAGTTATGTTAACGTTTATTAGTGTAACTGTGTGTGTACTCTTATGTTTATAAGTTCTGGGTTTTTTACTTAGGTATTTTATGTCATACGTGACTATTTTGGCTTTTAAATATGGCAGCTGATTAAAGATCTTCATTGTATCTTTTGTTTAGTCTTGTCGGTTCACTTGTAGTTATGATTAGAATGCTAGAGAGTGACACTTCTACGACAAAAAAGTCTGAGATGACACCTGCTGGTGCTGCTGGCACGTGAGAACACTCATGGTTACACGCCAACCATAAACTTAAGTCTACTGCGAGAGCAGAGAAAAACACTTGATACCTGTCACAGGTAATGTGTGTACAATCACCTCCCTTATTTCGTTTATTTTTCATGATTGCGATTGAAAAAGTACGTCGAAAATTTAATAGTATGTACTATGAAGGCTTTTCCATGTTCTAATTAATTTTGGATGCACTTTTTCAATCATATTTACAAAAAAAAAATCACTAGATGGAGGAGCTTGATGAGAGAGTTGACTGTAATTGTAGATTATGAAGATATGACCCGAGGTAGAGAAGTGCAAGAAAGCGAGAAGCTTTAGTTACTGTCTTGACTTAACACTGGTAATGAAGCTGGATGAAGCCTCATGAGGAGCTGCATTAACTTAAGATGTGTTTGTACGAGGCTGTCATGGTTGCTCTGAGGCTTAACAAGTAATAATGAACCAGTGTTAATGCCTGCCTCTCACTGCAATAATTAAGGTATTAGCTAGCAAACTGAAATCAATCTAGGTGTTGCTGGAGTGTTGAGCCCGTCCACGAAGCTTGCCAGCTTTATGGTAACCTTTAAAGCTGCCGTAGCAACTCGTAGCGGAATATTCAACGATATCCTCATCGCTCTACTAGTCTTCTAGTTAAGACTGACAGTGTGATAAAATGCCACTGGAAACCCATCCGTGCAACAGTAAAACCAAATCCATTGTAGTGGGTGTTAGGTCAGTACAGTGGGTGCTGTAACCTGTGTAGAGGTCAGAGTGGCCGCACACTGTGCTGTATCTAGTTGTGATATTAAGAACTCTTTAAGAGCGCCTGGTGCTCTGTTACTGTGTTAACACACAGGACGTGAGCTCCTGGGCAAGACTGACACTTGTGACACAGGTGTTTGTTCAGGGTAAATATCACACAGGTTCAGTATTCTTCACTGCAGATACGACAAATGTTCCTTTGTTCAAGGCTGAACACTGAACTTCTCTGTTCAAAAGTTGACTCAATGAAATATGAGGATTTTAGAACTAAACTTATGTTTATTCTTAACAAAAATTGTATACTTGTTAATTACTAAAATTTGAAAAAGTGAGAATTTTATTCATTCCAACTTCGAAAAGTTAAACAGTATTGAAAAACCTTTAATTTAATATTTAGATAAGCTCTGAGGTACGTATTTAAAATAACTGTCGACTGAATTGTTGTAGCGTAATATGATGAATAAGTATTTAGGTTGATATCTTAACGAGAAACATTGTAACACAACCTTGATTTAATTACAACCATAATAATACTTTGGTATTACCACCTGTGTTGTATTGCAGCTGCTGGCTTTACATTTCTTTGTTTTAGTTGTTTGGTTAATTTAGGGTCAGTTATTTAGGTTAGGTTTCATTGAGTTGGGTTTAACCACACATAAATTAAAAAAAAACTACCGCGTTACGTCTGGTAACGAGATAGTGGTGAAAAACTCGCAACGTTAAAATGTGAACGTTAATCCTGCCGATGGCAGAATGATCTGCAAGCTGGCAACCAACCACCAGTGGCAGCTGCCATGTATCGCCACACACCTTCACAGTTGCACACACAAAAAAATAGATATGAGGCATTAGAGGAGGTTTCTGTGACATTTCCAGAGTCACAAGTCATTTATATTTGCATTTGTAGCCTCCAGCATAGAACTAAAATGTCGACTCACAGTGACCCCGAGTTATATTTTGTCTTGAGAGCTGGTAACCTTAAACAGTGTCCTCAAAATACTATACACCGTTTGTGTTCTAACGCTTTCTACCTGTGACAATTTAAATAAAAATAAATAATAGTCGGATTGTGTACAGCGAGCCAGCAGCAGGCGGCTGATTGGGTCAATTTGGGATTGGGCCG